AAAGCTCCTTTAGGAAACAGTAAAACTGCCCCATAAATTTCCAAGGCTGTAAATCTTTATGGAAACAGAATACCACATCTTTCTCCATATGCATGTACAGCGGTTGTTAAGTGCCATCTACTTAATTCTGACTCATAGTGACCCTGTATAGGGTTTCCAAGGAGTGGCTGGTGGGTTTGAACAGCCAGCCTTAAAGTTCAAACTGACCTTGCAGTGCAGTGCTTATCCTACAGCACCACACCAGGACTCCTATTACATATATTGTTGTTTTTATTAGTGCCATCAAGCTGGTTCTGACTCAGAACGACCCTGAACAGGGTTTCCAAGGAGTAGCTGGTGATTTTGAATCGCTGACGTTGAGGTTCAAACCAAATTTGCAGTCCAGTGCATTAACCTATAATGCCACAACAGGGCTCCATTTTATATATATAGATACACAGATATATAGAGGTATGTATGTATGTAGTGGAAGGTGTATATCACCTATTCCATTATTCTGCAAACTAGACCAAGAGCTAGTTACATACCAAAGTTTATGTGAGAAGATTTTAAACTTACCTTACAGTCATTTGACTTGTAGAACCAAGTTTGTAGAACTAAGAGACTTGAGCATGTAAAACTAAGATGGGAAGGGAAGGCCAACCCAGGGTATTTATCTGTTCTATTAATATTTAGCACAGAAGTCCCGGTGTGGCACTGTAGGATAAGCACTGGACTGCTAACCACAAGGCTGGAGGTTCAAACTCACCAACCACTCCTTGGAAACCATATACAAGATCACTATGAGTTGGAACTAACTTGATGGCACTTAACAACAACAACAACAGCATTCAGCTCAAGGAAAAGGAAATATTGTCCTTGGATCATCTGACTAAAAGGATTCCATCCTTGAAAAAGTCCTTCTATTCACTGTGACATCACCAAACATAATTCTCTATGTGTAGCAATAGATCAACTAGATTGCACACTCTTGGAAGGCACATAGAAGGAACTGAACACTATCTAATAAATAAATGAACAAAAGAGCCACCCTCTAGGACGAAACAGGGGAACCGGTTGCTCCATTGCAGGAAATGCTCCTGGACTAGGGTTTTGAGTCATACAAGTCACCATGTGGTCTTCCCATGGCTTCCCAAGGTCACGTGCTCCTGTGTGACCTTGCACACAGCCATTTCTCCCACGCTGGTTCAGAAAGACTCAGCCCTTTGGCAGTTCCTCTAGGGAAATTGGCTGACTTCTGCCTAGAACAAGCCATGAGTCCCTTTCATGAGTTACACAGTTATATGAGAGGCAGTGAGTAAGGCAGGTTTATAATACGGCATGCTTTCCTGTTCTGTGTGGCGTTTGAGTGTTTTTGGCAAATGACGGTGATAGGCATTGTGGTTAGGCTACTTTTGCTTTCTGTTTAAAGGTACTTTTGCTTATTGGGGAACAAATGAGCTTGTCAAGGCTTAAAGGCCTGTGACAATGAAATCAACTCATTCAACTACATGGGACTCTGTAGAACATGGTCTGGCACAGGGTTAGTGTTCAATAAATGCTTTCTGATAATGATGCTGCTATCATATTTTAGTTAATGAATAACTCAAACACAGGCATGGACTTAACAAGTATACATACCAAGCTATCCCTATTGTCCTTATAAAACTTCTCAGGAATTTTTCTGATTGTGTGGAAAGTCCTTGCCATGTTAAAATGCCTCTTACTTGAATGATTTCAGGCCTCAAATGAGTTTAAAAAACACTCCACTTGAGCTGTGTACCTGAGGTGGGAACAGAGTTGGAGGGAGTCTTGTCAGGACATCTGACTTCTGTTCCTTCTCTTTTCTGCAATGAGATACATACAGAAATAACATGAATTTCCAGGTGCCAGCATGAAATGGAACTTGCAATTTAGGAAACTGGGTGAGAAGAGAGGGGTCTTTATTTCGGAAAACATCCTCTAAGATAAAAGTCTAGTTATCTTTTATGATTTCTCCCTGTTCTTCAACACTCACATCCAATTGCCCATAACGCCCTTTCCAAATGTTCCCCAAACCTGTCTCTGTTGGTCTCCACACAATCGTTTCAGACGTCACCACATTCTTCTGCCTTTTCTTAACCTTCTCTTCATATTAATGCCTCTCCTAAGCTTAAAAGGACTTAACAGAGACTTGGGAAGGGTCTGGTGTCTGTCATCAGATTAGAAGCAAGCAATCTGCGCAACCCCAACATGCCCCAGGAAGTCACAGAATGCTGTTGTAAGGCGGTTCTATAGATCTTTAGGGTGGATCTGCTCTAAGGTACCAAAGGCCAACCACACACATGATCCCTAGCCTGGATTTCAGATGTTTTCCACAGCCTCCATTATCTCTACCACACATGGCATCCCCAGAGACAGCAGGATTTCAGGATATAAGAACTATGTGGGAAGATTCTGAAGATTCAGCAAGGTGTACAGCCCATGGTTCATTTGCTTATTTGTCAATTACAGAAAGTCTTTCCATACCTCAAGAACCTCAAAGGGTTTTTGTGAGCTGGGTCGGTAGTTGCTGTTCTTATAGGTAAACAGATATGGCTTCTCCTGCCAAAGAAGGTAATGTATTCCTTAATTATGAGGCTTTATTATCCAGAAATACCCTCAGCCAATTTGGAACAATTGTATCACTTTTAATGATTACCAAACCATTCTCAGGTTCTTCTTCTCTGTGTTGCCCATTGGGTTCCTGAAGGAGCTCATTAAGACTTTGAAATTACCCATTTATAATAGTTATCTGTTACTATCTACCCTGGATAAGCATATGTACTTATCTCTTGCCTCATACACCTGACTAAGCATATATACCGTTTATTTCAATGAGCAAAGCACTTAATTTTAAGTTTCCTGGCAGCCAAAGCAAAGAGGGAAACAGGATGAATTACATGTTCTTATTGTCTAATTCATCAAGAAAGTCAAGATTTTAAGTAGTACAAAATGATGAAAGGGATTGCATTAATTTATGTCCAGTTTTTTTATCATCCATTTATTGGGAAACTTTAATTATATATTTATGACATATTAGGCAATTATTTAAGACTCAGCAAAATGGCTCATCTTTAAAACTACTTAGATAGATACCATGCCTCCTCTACACCAGAGGTAGAAAGTCTGGAAAAGGCATCTGGAGCACAGGATTCAGGACAGAAAAAAGATGGGGGGACAGGGAAGAAGTGGCATTAGAGGCTTGGTGAGCTGTGGCTTTGTCCCTATATCCTCCACAGGTATGGATGGAGTGGGTCTCAGTTCTACTAAAATTGTCCATAGACCAGAGGGATAAGCAAAATGAACAAAGCTATGACCGGGTCTGGAAGAACAGGTCCAAGATATAATGAGTCAGATATTTCAACCAGCTAAGCCCTCTTGCTACACAACAAAGCGCCACTCATCTCTTTCCCCAAATTCAACACAAGATGTCCTCCCTGCCCAGTCCCTGCCTACCTGAGTGGGACATTTCATTGGTCTCCTCTCTTCTGCACTGAACGGCTCATCCTTCTGTCCTGCTGGCTCCAACTAGAAAAGAAGGCAATGAGACATCCTTAGAATAGAACAATCTGGTACAGGTAGCAGCATTCTAGGGGACCATTGAGCAAGACCACTGATTATCAGTTTATACTGATACTGCAACGTCTGTATCACCTGGGTATTAGAAATGCACATTTCCAGGCCCTGCCCCAGACCTATGAAATCTCCAGATCCTGTGGAGGTGGGGCTCAGCAGTGTGTTTCACAAGCCTTCCAGGTGATTCTGATGCAGGCTGAAGTTGGATGACCACTACTTAAGGGCAATCACCAGTGTCTAGACCGCGAAGGGTCTCTCTCTCTAGCCCAACCCTCATGATATTACAGGAGAAAATATCATCGGTAAGAAAACGGAACATTTTTCAAGGTAAGGTCAAGGTGGGCCCCAGTTAGCCAGGGGAGAGGTGGGTGTAGGACACCAGTATTCTGTATAGAACAAATGGTCTCTCAGTATGTTATGTGGCTTCCTGAATTTCTAGGCGCTGGCTGTCCAGCTTGGCTCTTCTTCTTTCAGCTGGTTGCCTTCTTCTAGCCAGTTCATGATTTGCAAGTCCCTTCAAGTGGAGAGCAGGTTTGGGAAGAAAGGTAATGTAAAGCGTGTATTTCTTTCCTTGGGGCTACCCTTCTCTTATGTACATACATCTTGTCTCATGGGTTGTTATTAAATGCCATCGAGTCGATTCCAACCCATAATGACCCTGTATAGGGTTTCCAGGGAGCAGCTGGTGAGCTTGAATCACCAACCTTGCAGTACAAATGGCTTTGCAGTCTGGCGCATTAACCCACAGCTCCAAGCCAGGTAGTGAACACTTACTACCTGAGCACTGCTTACACAAACTGCGAATGGAGAGAATGATGGGTCCTGGGTCTGGTTCCCACTTCTTTACTCGGGACACAGAGATACAGTGACCTGGATCCCAGCACAGCTCAAACACTCCCCAACAACTAGAATGGCTAGTAACCAGGGAATAAGAACGTTGGTATCAGCTTTGATATAGGCAGCTGCTTCAATGATAACTATGAAGGGCTATTTATAATATGCCAGCAGGAGAAACTAGCAGTTTATAAATTTACATAGAAGTATTGAAGGAAAGGTAGGAAAATAAAGGTGTTGAAGGACTAGATGTGGAGGGATGCTTTTTACAGGTCCTTTTGTTATTTTCAAATGTTCTTTACAAATACATTAACATTTTAAAAAAGGCAATGGCTTTGAGAGAGTACAGCTTTTCTTTTTCATGTGCTATTTTCTACTGAAGTCCTGGTGTGGCACTGTGGGTTAATGCACTGGAGGTTTGAGCCACAGGTTGGCGGTTCAAACTCACTAGCTGCTTCTTGGAAACCCTATCTATACAGGGTCACTATGAGTCAGAACTAACTGGATTGCACTTAACAACAACTATCTACTATTTGGGACCCTCGTGATATGCTGCCAGCCGTGCTTCCCAAAGGTGTTATGCTCAGATGACACCCTGTCAGGGGACACAGAGGATAGGACATCCTGTCAGACTCAGTCACCCTCTGTGAGGATTTCAGATCCTTCAGCAAAATCTTATCCCAGCATCTGTACCCAGCAACAAGATACCAAGGTTAAGAACTTTAACCTTTTTAAGATTAGCTGTTAATCCAAATGGAAGGGGAGTCAGATAAGGAAGTGTAGTTAGCTTTATCTTTTGGGGAAGTAATGGCCACCCTAGAAGCCGGACCCCAGACTTCTTTCAGTTTTATTCTGATGGTGCATCCTCTTAGACAAAGGAGGGAGAGGGGAATCCCATCCAGGATGTTCAGGGCTGTTCTGAGAAGGAGCAGATGGGCCTGGCTTGGAGGCAAGATGTTGATCGGACCCATCTTTTCTTCCCCAGTCTTCCAAGAAAGTAATTAATAATGGAATCTGGGAACATTGAGAGAGCCTCACCTAGGTGACTCTGGCAGAATAGATATTGTTGTTGTTGTTATGTGCCATGGAGTCAGTTCAGACTCATAGCGACCCTGCACAGGGTTTCCTAGGCTGTAAATCTTTACAGGAGCAGAAAGCCTCATCTTTCTCCCGCAGAACAGCTGGTAGTTCGAACTGCTGATCTTGAGGTTTGCAGCCCGATTCATAACCACTACGCTCCCAGAGCTCCTTAGAATAGATATAGCAGAGTCTATTTTTGAAGAAATTAAAGGAAAAAATTGCCTTAGGTTTTCTCAGCAAACCCACTTCCATTAGGAGTCGTATCCCGAATGTCTCTTCAGTGCTGGAATTCTTGTCTTCTGTGTAGTCAATGTAGCTCATGAACAGCCACCACCCAGACTGTCAGTGGAGATTTGGTTATTGGTCCTGTGTGGCGCTGTTGGTTAATGTGCTGGACTGCAAGATCGGTTTGAACCACAAGGTTGGCAGTTCAAGTTCACCAGCCGCATGTCAGAAACCCTGTACACGGTGGCTATGAGTCAGAACTAACTCAACAGCACTCAACAACAACAAGGAGCCTAATGTGCTGGACTACAAAGTCAGTTTGAACCACAAGGTCAGTGGTTCAAGCTCACCAGTCATTCCTCGGAAACCCTATACAGGGTCACTATGGGTCAGAACCAACTCGATGGCACTTAACAACAACAAGGAGCCTTGGTAGCACAGTGGATTATGAGGTGGGCTGCTAACTGAAAAATCAGAAGTTCAAATCTACCAGCTGCTCTGCTGGAGAAAGATGAGGTTTTCTGCCCCCATAGAGATTTACAACCTCAGAAGTCCTATATAAGGCTGCTATGAGTCAGAACCCACTCCATGACACCCAACCACCAAACATGATGCTGCATGGCTTCCCTCAGAGCTTCCAGACTAAGATGGTCTAGTATGGCAATCTAGTTTCCAAAATCATCCAGTGAAAATCTATGGATCATAAAGATCTGGTCCACAACTCATCATAGGAACAGGGCAAGACTGGGTACAACTCATTCCGTGGTGCACAGGTTGCCATGAGTTGGGACTAACTCAACAACAGCTAACAACCACACATCCTTCCTGCTTCCACTTAACCCCCTTTGCATCTGCTCGGACCCTCTGTTCTCCTCTAAGCTCAGTGAGGAAGGAGAACAATCTGTTACATTTCAAGTGATCTCTTTTGTGTCCCACTTTCTCCTGCCACCCATGCCACATAAAAATGTTCACACGCCACTTTTTGTTCTAGGGAATACTGGTTTTGTTCTTTGTGTTTTCACTCAGTTTTTGGTCCTTCAATTGCTTGCATCTTGTCTGCACAGCTTCTCTGCCATCACAAAATTAACTGAGCCTGGGAGGAGTGGGGAATGAATTCGACCGAGGCTTACTTCCCCTACCCTGTAGCTCTAGCGCATTCCTTGCACAAGGTTTGGCATAAGGTGGGGGTCAGAGACTGCTTGAAGGATCTGGGTTCCTTGAAAACTACTGTTGTACAAGAATTACCCAAAATTATTGAGGTGGCAGACTAAAGGGCCTAATAGGTGGATTACAGTCCAAACAACAAACTCCTCATCCACTTGGTGCCAGGAATAGGCTTCCACAGAGAGGGCTCATTCAGCGGGTGTTCTAGAAACAGCGCTGCTTACCACCACTGCATGAACACATCACTAGCCCCAGAGTTCACCCACACCTGAGTGCTGGGTCAGGGAGAAGACACACTGATGTGGTCTATACCCATTCACATATGGTTCTGTGGGCTGCACAGCATAGGACCCTGCTGGACCCTGACCTCTGGCTGAGGGAGAGAAGTGTTAGAGGCTGGAACCCTGTGATCAGAATGGTTTTGCTGGTCTCTCTCTCTGCTCCCAGTGGGAGGGTATCCCTGACTTGAAGCTCTGTGTTATCTATCAATGTAGACATGGCTGGCTGTGTGCCATGGAGTTGGTTCCGACTTATAGCGACCTTCTACAGGGCTTCCGAGGCTGGAAGTCTTTACAGGAGCAGAATGCCTCATCTTTCTCCTGTGGAACAGCTGGTAATTTCGAACTGCTGACCTTGTGGTTCGCTGCCCGATTCATAACCACTACACTACCAGAGCTCCTTAATGTAGACATAGGTAGGCATTTTACCAGTTGCTGTCAAATCAATTCCAACTCACAGCAATCCCATGTGTTTCAGAGTAGAACTGTGTCTTATGCAATTTTCAATGACTGATTTTCTTTTCTTTTTTTTTTTAACAGATCACCAGGCCTTTCCTCCAAGGCACCTGTGGGAGGACTTGAACCTCCAACCTTTCATTTAGCAGCTTTTATTACCTATGGCTTCTATTAAGTTCAGGGAATTGGAGCCCAAGATTCTCTTAGTGCCTTGTGTCTCTGAGAGGTCACAAGGGTGCAAAAGAGCCTAGCCTCTCCCTTATTTTCACAAGACCATCTGAGACTGGCTGAGGGACATTTTCCCCTCTGGGGAGGTAGAGAACATGGGGGCCCACAAAGATCAAGTTCTTTGCCTCAGAAGTCAACCAAATGGTGGATTGGAACCAGAACCCAAGGTTACTGACCCCTTGCCCAGTGTCCTTTACACTAGCCTATTAAAATTTTTATTTCTTATGGATTATTCATGGTGGCAGGCAGTATAGGTATGTTCTGAAAACTCTGCTTACTGTACAAGCTGTGGGATGACTTGGTCAGGCAGTTCACCCATGGGAAACTAGGGAACAGACATGCTTAGGGAAATCCATACCTTCCTCCCTCCTTCCTCTTGCTGACCTGAGATGCAAGAGTCTCAAGGAGCTTTTACTGGGAAGTTGTGGACATTGTGGCTGTTTGGGCAGGACTAGAAAGAAGAGTAAGGGTCCAATTCCACCTTTGAAAGCCTCTTGCTTCTCTGAAGCCATGACACTTGCTGTGTCCCAGGCCTTAGGTCATTAGTATGAGCCCTGTATTCCTTTGTGTGTCTGCCCATCTGTCCCTCACCTAGGTAATTAGACACAGTGCATGCTGTGTGTCTGTTTATATGCACAGGGAACAACATCCAGGAGGCTCATTAAATGGTTTCGTTGCTGCTGCCACTGCCACCAATGACAATAAGGAACAAGATAAACATAGGCCTCTAGCCACATGTTAACTTGACTGACAGGACAGGCGATAGCTGGCAGAGGAACGATGAAGGGAGCAGAAGACACAGGGAGGAGCACAAGATTTAAATGCTGTTAGAGGTAAATGCTGTGAACTGATGGTCCATGGAGGGGATCACCAACGTTGTAATGAAAAGAAGTATGTGATTTGTTTAATTTTAAACTGGTGACCTTTTAAACTGTAAATTTTAAACTGTAAACCTTCACTCAAATTACAATACATAAAAAAAAAAAAAAAATAAGCTAAGTTGACACCCCCCAAAAAAAAACCAAAAGGAGAAAGAGAGGAGGGTCTCCACCCCCTCACTTGGGATCTGCTCTTCCTGGCTTCTCACTGTCTCCTGTACTCGGAGCTTCATTCACTGTCATTATCTCTACATTTCCTCTCTTAACCAGACCAACGCTTTACTAATGCATCTGATGAATCCTTGTCTCCAGTGTCTTTTGCTCACAAAAGGCCCTCTTGCCTGAGCATGCCTTTCCTTACCCCATCTGACACTCCTATAAAAGCCAATTCAAGCCCCACCTTCAGGGGACTCTCCTGACCTCATTGTCCATTTTACTTGCGGTTCAGCCTAGCACACCACTGTTGGTTGAGTTCCTGCTGACTGGTGTCCCTCTGTGTTCCTGGCCTTTCCCAGCTTCTCTTTAAGCTCACTGAGGGCTGACATCTCTTGCACCCTCCTTGGCACCCAGCATAGGACGGGTTGGTTGGGTGAAAGGAGGAAAGAGGTTTGGCTGAACTGAAATAAATGGATTTCCCTCCCCTAGAGGAGCTGGAATGGGGTGGGGAGAGGGCAGCAACCCCACTAGCGGTTCTGCCTCTTTTTTTTTTTTTTTTTTTTTATCACAAGAAAACAGCAGCAAAATGGTGATCTGAGGGAGTACCCCACTTAAGAGTCAGGTCTACTATCAAGGGTCCCTCTTCAAAGAAATCAAACACCTGCTCCAAAGGGCAGTAAATTTCCATTGGTGTGGCTAGCTGGGGCTGTTCCCTGACTTTCCCCTCACTGCTCACTGTTTTCTGGTGTCCTGGTGTGGCACTGTGGGCTAATGCATCAGACTGCAAAGTTGTTTGAACTACAAAATCAGTGGTTCAAGCTCACCAGCTGCTCCTTGGAAACCCTACACAGGGTCACTATGGGTCAGAATCAACTTGATGGCACTTAAGAACAACAGCAACAATGCAAGTGACAAGCAGCTGCTCCTGGTACCCAGATGGAGAGATGGAGAAGAATCTTTCTAACACAAAGAAGAAAACCAAGGTTCTGTCACTGGGATTCTAAAAATAGGGCAACTTGTATGGAGAAAAAGTAAATAGGAAAATCAGGTCTCTGCCTGGAGTTCTGGAAAAGCTGAAGCAATAATGGAGGGCTCTTGACATGGCATTCTGGTTGCTGACTCATTCCGATGGCCCTGGAGACCTGAGAGCTGGGGGAAAGTCTGTCACAGTTCTGCTAGAAAGGGCCAGCTCATACTGAGTACTTTCTGTGGGCCAGGAGCAAGCTGCACACTTGATATGTGTTGTGTAGAAAGGAAGGTGAGGCCCTGAACTCACACAGCTCATGAAGCCAGGACTGAAACCCAGGTCTTCCAGACTCCAAAGTCCAAGCCCATCCCAGGCACCACCCTGGGCTTTTAAAACTGCTGATACCATACAAATGTAAACTGCCGGGAAGCTGGACAGGAGCTGGAGTGAGCCCACTCATTACTTCCCCACCCACGTGAAGACTTTCACACAGGCTCTGAGGAAGGAGCCCTGCCCACGGGGTGAGCAGGGCTGGACGCCACTGATAGCCTCTTCCTGAGAGGGCTGTGGTTCAGTCTTTGGGACAAGAAGGTGAAACTCCAAGTTGTCTGAGCTGGCTGTCCCCAGAGTATGAAAAGTTTCCCTCATGGCCCAGATACATCCTCCCAGGATATTGTAGATGTCCTACAGCCCCTCTGTCAGAGCAGTGGTCACTGTGGGAGTGGTGGTGGGGACCCTGCCCTCTTTCTGGAGGCCCTGAGCCCACCCCACTCACCATGCTGTTCCAGAGATTCAAGGCAAGTGCGGTGGGATTCTGAGACGTTGGCTCCCCCTGAAAGAGAACCAAGTAAGAAAGGACCCACTCTCAATACCAAGAGGGGATGAGATAGGCCTGCCTCCAACACACACATTTCCCTGGTGTGGAGATGGTGGTCTCCTCAGCAGCCCCATCAACAACTGTTAAGCATTGATTGGATCTCCACCTGGGGGCGGGGCTCAGAGAGAAGGGGGTCTACAGAAGTAGGTCAAATCTCTGATGACTCTGTGTTCATGGACTTCTGCACAACTGGACTCAACAAAGGAGACAATGACAGGGAAATGGTTCAGAGGGGAACGGAGGAGATGGGAAGAGAATATTCCTCCTCTTTTTAAAGCATGACTTTAAACCTCTTAGTTTTCCAGGAGGCCCAATGACTGAGAGGCAAAAGCCAGGCTCCAGGAGGCTTAAAGGCTTCACATGAGGACCCACCCACAGTGCCATGTGGTCAGAGTGACTGCCTTGGAGCAAGGACATCTGCCCAGTGACCAGGGGCCACTCTGTCCTATCTACCATAGGGATGGGTACAGCAGAGAGTGCAGAGTGGGGAGTGACTTGTGTCCCTGGAACTCCTACCCTGACTGATCACAGTAGCTAAGAGGTACGAGGCTTCCAAGTGTCAGGGACAGCTTCCAGTTCTGTGTCTGTATTTCTTCATGTGATCCTTACAACCACCCTACAGGTAGTGGGTATCAGTAACAACCCTGATCTTACAGATGAGGAAATGAGGCACAGAGAGTTCAGACAACTTGCCTAAGGTCACACAGCTGGCCCTTTCCAAGACCAGGATTAGAAGCCATAGATCTGAAAAGCTCATACTCTTGAGCTCTGGGCTGCCCTGCCTCTAAGAACCAGCCAGCCTCATGGGGGTTATCCAACCCTACAGAGAAGGATACAAGAACGTCTAATAATATTGCTGCGTTTCCTCCTGAGATGAGATATCCTGGATTCAGTGTAGATGACTGGGTTGGGCCTTCTGCAGAGGTGAAGGTGGGAGAGGGGAGGCTGGAGCTGACCTGTAGCCCCACTCCCCTTCCGGATCTGCACCCATGTGCCTCACCTGCAACGCTCACTTACCAAGACAGACAACAGAGCTGTCTCAGAGAAGAAAGGCTGGAAAACAACAGCGAAGGACTTCTCCTCATTGTACTTGCTGATGGCTAGGAGCTTCTCCCAGGTTTCCTGAAGGAGGGGAACAGAGCAGTCAGAAGTGTGAGTATGGCATAGCCTGCGCTTACCCCCCACCCCTCTGACAGCCTGAATTAGCCATAACACATTGTTCTGAATTCAATGCAAGTCTAAAGCTCCCTCTTGTCTCACACTTCTTGGGACTTTGAAGAATAAAGTTTTATTCTCCTCTGAAGCCCCAGCAGTCAGGCAATATCTGGGATCAAACTGAAATACATTTGCTGGAAGCTTAAGAAATAAAAGACCGCACAGTATCTGGCCAAGGATCCCACTGTCTCCTCAAGGCCTAAGTGCTGTAGAGGGATGTGCCATTAGCCACCACCACCACCACCACCATCACCCACATACACGTGGTCATTTCCAGAGTGAGAGAAGTGCCTCACAACTGCAAACATAACTTTCTTCTTTTCAACTAAAACAGCATGCTAAACAAGGCAGTAGGAACTGTGCTTTGAGCTGTTTGTGACAATAGTTTTCATGAGCTATCACACCCTCCTGGGGTTTCTTTTGTAACTAGAAAGTAAAGCATATCTGCAGGAGTCCCGACTCTCCCTCCTTGGACTGTGGGGCTTGAGGTACAGGCACAGTAATGATCACCAAGAGCCTCTCAGAATGAATTTGAAAAGTTCTTCACTATATTTTACCTGAAATCCCTCCCTTCCACCCTGCCCTGTAGGAACATTAAATGATCATTAGGAAGTGAATTGAGAGTACCTCTCATTCGCTCCTGACTCTCAGTCTTGAGAACAATCCTACATCAGCAAACTTAGTATTGGTGACCTGCATGTACTCTAATTCTTCCCACCATCTCTGTTCTCCTCCATGGCCACTCAGCCCGCTGTGAGCAAGCAGCTCAGTCATCCCTCGTGGGCTCACCTGATAGGACCACTGCATCACAACCCTGGAAAGCTTTGAATTCTCCATTACACAGCTGCAAGATTCTTCTTGGCTGTGGAAGGTAGAACAAGAGGAAATGAGAGAGCTGGGTGCAGTGCTAGGGTGACATCAATGTGCCCTTTTGAGGAAATGAGAGAGCTGGGTGCAGTGCTAAGGTGAGATCTCGGTGTTGCTTTGGGAGTAGGAAGAACTTGGAAGTCTTAGAGGGGGCATGAGAAGGAAGGAAGCAAATGTAGGGGAGAAAAGTAAAGGGTGGGAAGGTACACTGTAGAACTTCCCACCGCCTTCCTTGAGGATGGAGGTGGGAAGTAGAGGTGGGCTCAATCTCCTGGGATTTCTCCCTCCCTTCATTTACTCTTTACACCTGAAACCCAAAGGGGCTCTGGTAGTGTAGCGGTTACGAGTTAGGGTGACGAAAGGTCAGCAGTTCGAAACTACTAGCCATTCTGTGGAAGAATGATGAGGCTTTCTGCTCCCATAAAGATTTACAGCCTCAGTGCTCTATGCAGGGTGGCTATGAGTCGGAACCGACTCCAGAGTACACCACCACCACCACCTGAAACCCACACCCTGTCCTTTGTTCCCCTACTCTGAATTCCTTTTCCTTCCTGCCTCCTCAAAAGCCTCCTCTTCCTATTGCCACCATCTCTGCCTGGCGTTGCTCAGCCCTGGTGTTTACTTGCAAACTTCTTTTCTGGGCACAAAACCAGACATTGCAGAGTTTGGGTGGAAAGAGGTTAAATTCTATGAAACTTTTCAGAAATATATGAGAATCATGCTCTGTGAAGATGAACTACATTTAGGCTCAATGATTTTCTTTACAATTTCCAGAAGCAACGATTCTTGGTTTCAAGATGATTTGCCAGAACACATAGTTTAACTCTCAAATCATTCTGGCAGAGGTAGGTTATCTGCACTAGTTCAGCCACATGAAAGACTTGGTCTTTGAAACTCAGTCCCCAAAACATGTTCTGCAGGGGACAGCCATCCCTCCTTCCATTCTAACTCTATCACCAACTAGCTATACGATTTGGCCACACTTTGATTAACCAGTTTGTTTACATTCCTGCATATGATTAATGCACAAGAACACCCTGCTCAGTATCCGGCACATGGTACTCAATCAAAAATGTTGGTTGTATTCCCTTCCCTGTTTACCTAAGCCTGGTGCCTTGGTGCCAGTGAGAGACCCCCGTAGCCTCAGAGAGATCCACCAGGTTCACAAAAGCTTTGGGAACCTAGGAGAACACAAGAAAGAAGAAGGTGAGCATCCACAAAGTTACCGTTACTGCTCTAGAACACTTGGTTAGAACTCTGGGCTCTGGTTGAGGGTCATGTTGTTGTTAAGTGCGGTCGAGTCAATTCTGATGCACAGCAACCCTGTATTGAGTTTCCAAAGAGTGGCTGGTCGGTTTGAACCACTGACCTTGTAGTTAGCAGTCAAGTGCTTATCTTATAGCACTACACCTCTCCAAAGGCAGACTCCTTTGGGAGGTGTTCAGCAGGGCTCTGTCCAAAGCTTCTAGCAATGCCATTCCAGAATGGTATCGCTCACCATCCCTCCTGGAGGTAGGGTACCTCCCCATCATGGTGCCAATAGGGAACAAGTCCACAGTGGCAAGATCTGCAGAATCCTCTCCAACAGAAGAGCTGACCCCCATGAGAGCAGATGGGAAGATCAAAGCTACAGAACACCCCCTCTCCCTTGGATCCCCAGAGCCTTAAGTATTCGTCATGGTCAGTCCAAAAGGGAAGGCTTGAAGGCGCTCAGCCCATTCCACCCCCCAGGCTGCTATTACCCAGTTTCTGTCAGAGAGTGGCATTAAGAAAGAGCAAAGCCATCAAGTCCTCTGTTTGAAACTGAACTTTAGCCCTTCTTCACCCTCAGAAGTCTCTCTTAGAAACATCCCTTGCAAGAATGGAATGCCCTATCCCTAAGCCATATTTTCATTTAAAAGGGTGAAAAGACTGCTTCTCCAGATCTTTCCCTTTCACTATGAATTGATCTTGCTGGAAGGAGCTCATTATCTCTATCCCAAGGAAGGTCATTCCCACAGTTGGAAGGGCAGCTTTTTCTTGGCTACCAAAGGAATCCGTGAAGAAACTCTGAGTCCTTCGGTTAGAGAGCTGTGGAAGCTGTAAGTCTCACCTCCTGGTGCAGGTAGTCCAGCATCCGGGTCAGTTTGTCCATGGTATCCAGCACATAACCTTTCTGTGAGAAAGAGAAGTGTGCTGAGTAAGGGTGGGGGCAGGAGGACCACACTCACAGACTGAGGATGCCCAGGCTCATAGTGGTCTAGCCCCCTACTTGGACTGATACGATGGTGGCAAGGACAAATCTAGACCCCCATTTCCTCAAAACAAGTGTAGAACTCCCAGAACTTCAGATTTTATTCAATGTCTGGCTTTCCCAATCCATTATCCATGTGAGGGTAAATAAAACTCCACCAAGGGAGAAATTCCATGTTAGGAAAGGGCAAATTCAAGGTCAGGCTAAGGTAAACACTCCTATGCAAATATAGTAATACTCATGTTGAGGGATGAGAGACTGAGTTTATTCATAAAGGCTGCTGGAATTGCTTTTATCTGAGGAAAATCACCTTTAAAGGGAGAATATAATTAATCCTGGATTTAAGGCCTCACAACTTTCCACTTGGTGCTATTTTATCAGAGCCCCTCCCTGCCCCATTTGCCCTGAGTCAGAAAAGGATTCCCAGAAAAAGAGTGAACAGACTCCTGCTGTTTGGGTATTTAAACCCTTTCCCCTACCCATCCAACACACACACACACACACACACACACACACATGCACATATACATCTTCTCTTTCCTTGCAGGTCATAAACATAAATGAAACTACCTTAAATTTCAACCCTGACTTATCTTTTCAGTGTAAAAATAACCAAATGAAAATTAAATTAGTAACAAGACTAACTGCTAAACTGCCTGCACACTGACTGTCCCCTGAGGCGACTTGGCTCAGATGGGAAACATGGAAGGCCAAGTTGTTGTTCTGTCTCCTGGGGGGACACAGGCAGGAACTCAGGAGACAGCTGCCAATCACCCAGACAGGCAGCCTGCCCACCCACAGTGCTGGAGCAAACGATGCAAGGTCCCTTTTCTTTCCACTCCCCACTTCATGTCTCAGTGGGAGGCAGTTCAGTTGTGCTAGCCATGATAAAGCTTCCTACTAGTTTTCTTCCAAGTGAGTGTCTCCACCAGCCTGGCATTAGACATCACACTTTCTCTTCTGAAGAGCCTTGGGAACTCTGTCTAAAATCATCAGGGCATCCATCTTTCCTAGTGTGGCTAGATTAACGCTAGTGCAAATGGTTAACTCGTTGGGCTAATAACCAAAAGGAAGGAGGCTTGAACCTCCTCAAAGTTGCCCCAGGAGAAAGGCATGGGAATCTACTTGTGAAAAAGCAGCCATTGAGAACCCCACAGAGCACAGTTCTACTCTGACACACATGGAGCTGTCATGATTTGGGGGTAGACTCGCTGACAACTGGTAGACTCTTCTCCTTTCCCACTGTGAACCTTGCTTTAGGCTCTCCTTAGCAAAGGTGCTTTTTCCCAGCTGCTGAGTGAATTGGAGCCACTTAGCCCTCTCAGGCAATGAATGGTTGTCACTTGGGGCACAAATTGTCCTTGTTCCTTAGTGAAAGACATGCCATTCACATATAATGTCTCCCTTCACACACACACACACACACACACACACACACACACACACACACACACATCAGAAACTCCTTCTTGAGCCCAATGTCAGGAAAAAATTTATTATAACTAGTAAACATGTACTCCCTGCTCCCCGTCCCCATCCCCAGATCCCAAAGAATGTTCCAGTATTGGACATGTGCCCAAGACCAGACTTAACTTGTTCTAATAAATCGTTTCCTTGGGATCTACTTAAAGTATTTAGTCAGAAGGTGTGAGCACTTTAAGCTTTCTTGAATCCCACTGCCAGTGAATCCCACTGCCAGTGTATCTGTGTCCAGAAATGTGCATGTTTTTGATCCTTCACCTGCCCCTTCTTCTGATATCTGATATTACTCATTAAAAAAAAAAAAAGTAACCTTTCAGTAGACAGCATCAAACAAAAGTCTAGATTCTAAAACAACCCCATGCTACTGGTATGACTCAAGCTACCATTTGGTGTGAAACACCTGTCCTTGGAATAACTGGACCCACCAGGAAAGCCCTGGAGGTGTGCTATCACTGTCTAGCGGATAAGTCCCGATTTACTCTTTCTGTGCCTTTGATTTTAAGAAAGAAAGAAATTAAAAAAAAAAAAAAAGTTAAATGTGAACATATCTCTATTCCCCTCTTCTTGTTGTTGAGTTGGTTCTGACTCATAGCCACCCTGTCTTGGGTTTCTGAGGAATGGCTGATGGGTTTGAACCACCATCTTTGTGATTCAAACCAAGCTTGTGGTCCAGTGCATTACTCTGCACTGGACTGCTAATCACAAGACCAGCAGTTCAAATCCACCAGCTGCTCCCTGGAAACCTACACAGGATCATTAGGCATTGGAATGATTCCCTTCTAAAGGAGCCCAATGCGTTGCTGTTAATAGTCACCGAGTCAATTTCAACACCTGGCAACCCCATGTGTACAGAGTGGAATTGCTCCATAGGGTTTTCAATGACCATGACTCTTATAAAGCAAATCACTAAGCCTTTCTTCTAAGGTGCCTCTGGGTGGGTTCAAATCGCCAATCTTTTGATTAGTAGCTGAGCACTTAACTATTATTGCCACCCAGGGACCCAAGGCGCCCGTGTTGTTGTTGTTGCTATGTGTTGTCTATTCCAACTCATAGTGAACCTATAAGATAGAATACAACTGCCTTACTGGGTTTCCTAGGCTGTAAATCTTTATAGGAGCAGATCACCAGGTCTTTTCTCCTGTGGAGTCACTGATAGTTTTCAACCGCTGACCTTTCGGTTAGAAGCCAAACACTTAACCACCATACCACTGAGGAACCTTCCAAGGCCTCCAATAACCCACCGCTGCTGAATGCAATTGGAAGGATCCCTGGTGAACTGTGGTTAAGGCTTGGCTGCTAATCAGAAGGTTAGTGATTCAAACCCAGCAGCCATTCCCAACGAGACAGATGTGATCGTTTCTGTCTTTATAAATGACGGCCATGGGAATGCTCTGGCACAGTCTGAAGTGACTTGCTGCAACAGGTTTGGCTTGGAATCTTTATGGCAACAGACTGCCACAGCTTTGTCCCATAGAGCAGCTGAGGGATTTGAGTTGGCAGTCTTTTGGGTAGCAGCCAAAGGATTATGAGCCACCAGGGATCCTTAAAGCCTCCCTAGAGGAAAAGAAAATTCTAAGTCCTAAGATAGGACAGGGCAGTAGTTTAACATTTCTTTTGAACAGTAAACACTTTTTCTTCCCTGTAAGAACTCTGTCTCTGACACAGGTAAACACAGCTGCTCTGTGAAGTTGGGTAGAGACCTGGAGTTCACCTTCTCTGACTTGCCTTTTGCCCTCAGAGGCATCTATAATGGTCCCTTGGATGCTGCAGAGCACGTATCGACAACCACTGAGGGAGAGATTGTGCCTGGGATGTGGTATGAGGAATATTAAAAAAAAAAAAAAAAAGGCCGTGTAAGAACTTTTCCAACTGCTGAGCTTTGCTGTCACAGGGTTAGCTTGAAGATGGAGCTGCGCTGTGATCAGAGGTAACCCCCGAAGACTAGGAGGTGAGTAGTGGTCTGAGCTACAGACGTTCCAGGAGGGTGAAGGGAGAAGCCAGCAGCCCAGACCAAGGGGGCCAAGCGAGCCAGAGCCAGGAGCCACAAAGTCCTTGAAAGGAAATGCAAATGGAAGCGAGATTTATTCTTGGCTCAACGGTTTGTGGTCTTGGTTGGAAAGGAAGAGGCAAGATGGAAGAAGAAAAAAAAAAAACAGTCAAAAGGGTATTTGAGTAGATGCTAGTGAAACTGCTACAATAAGCCAGATGGATGGAGATCAAGTCACTGGTTTACAGTCAGTCATTTAGAAACTAGGAATGCGGTAGAATTACTCTTTTTTAAAAAAAGTGGGATAGGTTAATGGTGTGGTTTTTTAAAAAATGTTTTATTGTGAATTATGTGATAGTTTAAATGGGAGAACATTCGTTTTACATTCATCCTATCATATATCGTTTCATT